TTTTTTTTTTTCCCTTTACTTCTTCTTCTTGACCTTCCAATTCCTTCTCCTTCCTTTCCTTTACTAATTTGTATCAACGACAGGCTTTGGGAGAGAAGAATTCACGTACATATTTTAGGCGTACTACTTTCAGAATAACTTGTCTGACACACTCTTGCAAGATTTGAAGAAAAGTTTTAAATGCTCAAGGGTATTTCACTTTCGATTGGAGACTTGAAGCATCTATGATTCATTAATTTGTCTCGTACAGATATCGAAAGTCTACAAACGATTGTAACAACATCATTTGTCAGAGAGTAGACCAAAACCCAACGCTTGTCTGAAGAGGAGAGAATCTAGCAAATGTGGGTTTTTTGAGGTTGCAGGGCGCTGTTGGCCCCGGCATCTGCTGCCAGGTCCTCATCCGCCGGCGCTGCTGCTGTTGTTGCCACAAAATCGCCGTCGAAATCGACTGAGACGTGCAAGACGGCAAGTCCCCGGAAGCCTAAATCGCGCCCTCGAACCATGGTCCGACCACTGGCATTCTCAAGGTCGCTCCTGTTTCCCCTGCCTTGGGCGCGTTTCTTGGAGCCAATGAAGCGTCTCGCAGTGATGCAGTCAAGCAGATCTGGTCCTACATCAAGACCCACGACCTCCAGGTATCCAACTCTTTCTCTTCCCTTCTCTTTTATTCCTTATGTTTAGTGTTTCTGCATTTGGTTTGTTAAACCCCAAGATTAGGGTTTTTCTATTTACTTGTTTCATAGCTCCTTTTTACTTGGGGTTTCTGTGGCCATCTGATATCGCACTTGGTTTGTTGAAAACCTCAAAATTCTGGTATTGGTTCTGTAGTTTTTCATTGATAGTTCTACTGGACTGATTATGTCATTTGGGTTTTGCGTTGCTCATTTCTTAGAAGTAAAAGGAACTTAGGCAATAGATAAGATAAAAGGTGCATAAGCACAACTTTTATTTGTTTATCTAATATGCTAGTGAAGTGGGGGAAGCGATGGTTGCAAAAGCTGATTTCCACACTTTTGGATATTGTGGCTTAAGATTATTCTTGAGTTTTTGTTTGAGTTCAGGAAAAGAAAAAATTGAAGGATGCAAAATGGTGATAACTGTTGATGAGTTTGTTCATCCTTTATCATAAAAATGTTTTGTATTATAAAAGGCAAGTAAGTGGGTTGAGTTCTATTCTTGTGGATAAGTAAACTCAATGGTCCAAGACAGGTGTAAAGATGGTAAGGCATTCTTTTACTAGTGTTGATTGTCAATGGATCTCTCCTTAGGTGATGCATTTGGCAAAAGAAATGGGAGCTTGTTGAAATTAGCTGTCTGAATCTTTACAGTAGATGGGGATCTATCTTTTTGTTTTTTTTCCCCTTCTTAATGGTGTCGTTCTTCCTTAAAACCTTAAAAAAGATTTGAATAGATCCTAAATTGTCATGCAATTACTATAGAATAGCCATTTCATTGAACCAAATGTGATAAGAAATATTGTGGACCAACCATGCTATTCTCAATGAAATATATATACCTTGCTAGTTTGCTTTAGTCCTTCCATTAACTTACGGATTTATGCCATTAGCTTATGGATTTATGCCATTAAATGACTGCACAAATAAATGATCATTGGAGAGACTTAATTGCCCCTTTATATTATGATCTAGAGGAACAGTACCAACTAAATTGAAATTGTCATGCTGCTTTGCTGCCTATTATTGACCTTTTCCCTCTACTTTTTTCTGAAGTTTTGAAGTTGAATGGATATCAAATTTTGTTGACGGCAAAATTTGTGAACATTAGGCAAATAACAATATAATTCTAGAGAATCTAGAACTAAAATCCGGCTATCTGTATCATATACACTGAAGATGTTATTGATTAATTACAACTGAGGACAATATTCTTCTTAAATTGATTTAATAAGATTTGGCCAAAAAAAAAAAAACTTTTAAGGAGATTAGTTATGGACCTGGTTATACTTCCACGTCTGCTTCTATTCATTTTAATGGCAATAAGTATCCATGGTTCTAATTGAAACAACTTAAATTAGTTTGACTCAATTTTTAAAATTTAGAGTTTGAGGGCCTAATTGAACTGCTCTTCAAATGTTAGGGACCATCCATTCAGTTTACCCTTTGATGAATTTTAAGGTTAAATGAATTTTTTTTTTTTTTCCTTTCTCATGTCATCTTAACTCTGTGCTTGGATTTCATGGCATGTTTATCATTTAAGTGTAATTTTATCTATAGGTGCATGTTCTTGTAAAGGATGAATAGAACATAAGAACGGAAATGAACACAGGATTAAGATTTTATCTAAGAATTGATGTGAACATCTTTAAAGAATTTAAGGGTGAATAGTGCCATCAATCCTTATTCCCATGAACCACATTTTCTTTATTCATGAGATTATTGCAACTTTTCCAGATTCAATTGATAGAGTTCTGCTTTAAGTAATTTTCATTTAGATCATGTTTTATACTGTCTGTAATGATATGTATTGTGAAGAAAATTTTGTGACACATTAATGTGAGCTAAATCAAATAGATGTGTTTGCATGCAGAACCCAAATGACAAGAGGGAGATCTTTTGTGATGAGAAGCTTAAGGCCCTTTTTGGTGGAAAGGAGAAGGTTGGTTTCTTGGAGATTGGAAAGTTGCTAGCCCAGCATTTTGTAAAGACTAATTGACTGCTCGTTTTCAAAAATCCAGTTTCTGTTGTCCAACCTCTATTGAACAAAGCTCTTTTAAATTCCATCTATCTTGAATCCCTTATGATGTATCCCAATGAATAGCTTTTGTTTTAAGAGCAGAACTCCTAGGGTTGAGTTTGCAACTTAACAGGTTTCTAGCTGGACATGTTGTAAAAATTTGGTAGGAAGAAGATGATTAGCTTTCTTATTTGCTTTGTGATTTGAATTTCACTGTTGGTGATATCTGTGCTGCTTCGACTGACTGGTAATATATGGTGGGGAATACTGGTTGAAATGGAATGCATATCAAATTGTGGATTATGCATGACAGATACAGTGATCTCTTGCAAGGGGTACAAAGCCAAGTTATGCTTAAGTACTCTGTTATTTAAATTGCTTGGGGTACACAAGCTCCATTCATGGAGTTGGACCTTTATCTAGGATAAACTTATCATTTATCAAGTTAAAGCTTGGTAGAAAATAAACTCAACCTCAAGTAGTTTTAAGACTCTTTCATTTGAAATGGTATATATACTTAATTTTTTAAAGGAAAAAAAAATTAAGACGTTAAGACATTCAATCACAATCACAATTATTAAATGACTGAGGTATTAAGTGAGTTTTAACTTTTATCAAATTTATTATATGGTTATTATTAGATATTTTAATATTTTTAATGTCAAGATATTATGATTTTTTTTTTCTTTTTTAAATGTTTGATTTACTTTATGAGATTTAATTGGGTTTAAGATTGAGAATGGCAAGTTGAGCTTGAATTGTGCTATGGAAGTTTTTATGCCCGAACATTTGGACACCAAATGGTATACGGTAATTTTCCAGTTTTTAGCTCTTTAGAAGAACTAGAAGCATTTTGAATGAAGGTTGCAAGAAATTTTTAAGTTAATTCGTTTCAAATTAGTCCTTACTTGGCAAAAGGTTTATGAAGCAAGGGATTTAAGTTCTAGCCATCAGATTGGAGAATTGACTTGCTTTAAGGTATACCAAGATTTGACAATTTTACTCAAGCAACATGATAAAAAAGTGCCTCCCAATTTTGCTGATTGACCCCCTTTTTCAGTAAGGAAGCTGACTTGCTGGGCAGAATAAGGAATTGGGTATCTTTACTGCCTTATTTTGCTTTAGTCAGGTCCCAACTCCCAAATAGGACGCCCCAGGTCTTCAGTTCAAGTTTAGGATGGGTAAACAGGGGTTTTGAAAAGGAATTATTATCATTTATTATGTAGCTTACCATTTAATGTATAAAAAATGGTTTTTTAAAAAAATTCTTAACTTTGTATAGAAACTTCATTTTTTTTTTTTATGGTAAACTCTGTATAGCAATTTAGAGTGTGTGTTTAGTGTAGTTTTTAGTAACAACTTCTTTATTGTTATAGTACATATTTAAGATATCGGCCTTGTAATTCATGTTTGACTTCATGCCAACTGAAACTGCTATACTTCTAGAGGTGCAATTGCTTGCTTTGCATCCTCATCCCATTTTGCAGAGAGTCCATTCTCTACATTTCTTCATCTGGATATCCTGGAAACTCTTGTATCGCCTAAGTCCAAGATTGGCATTCAACCTACATGATTTTTGAAGCTATACCCCAATTTTGAAATTAATTCTTGACTTTGCCCTGGTACATTTTCAGTGTTTAAGGAACACATTGAGATCTTGAAAATTTCAAATTCAAATTGCCTTAATACCTAGATTTTCTACTCTTTCTCTTGTTTTTTCCTTTCTCCTAACTGCGGCTGCTTCTCTCTCCCTTGGTGGCTAGGATGAATGGCTAAAGGTTGGAGTTCTCCGTTGTGAATGCTTTTTCCTCTCTTGTGGTGATTTCTCCCTCTTTTTTGAAAGTTTTTACCTAAATTTTCTCGTTATTTTTTATGGTGATTAGCTTTTCTTGTTAAATGAGGATAACAACTTAAACATAATATTAGTTGGATTTAGATCAATTGTCATACTTATTTCGATACTTGAAGGTATAGTTAGAAACATGGTCCCTAGCTAAATGTTTCTATCCTAATCAATTTATCTTTTGATTGGATGAATTATGCTAAATCGCAATTTAATTCCTCAATCTTAAGTTTGGATCTGACTGCAATATTCATATAAATGTTAAATTATTTGATTTTATATTTTTACATATTTTATGAATGTAATACCTTTTGTGTATTAGTATTTAGATTGATCCTATAATATTTATGGTTTTATATATTAATGAAATTATATTTCTTGTAAAAAAAATGCCTTAATACCATTTAACTATTTATATATGGTTTTGGTAAAGTCTTGTGTATTTCAGTAATAGATTGTGTTGAGAAATGGAGAAATCAAACTTAAAAGTTTAAATCTCCAACCTTAGTGTGAAATCAAAGTTTTTGATTTTTAAACATGTTAATTAGGAATTAGAGGCAACACAAAACAGTCCCAAATTTTGAGATTGTTTAAATTTATTGATTTCTAAAATTACAAATTATTTTATGGAAA